TTATGTGTCTTTTTGTGTATTTATTGTAATTTTTCTGTTAGTTAACTCACTGAGAGGTCAGAAATGCATCAGACACAACATTCAACCACTAAAATTTCTCTTTTCTGTTCAGGAAATGAACAGAATTCTACATCTTAATCAGAAATTATGATGTTCTTTACCATTTTTAAAAAAAAAAAAGCAAATATTTAAATATTTTTAATATTTTAAGATGCATTTGTAACAGTAATAATCCTACTTTAGTGTTATTTTAGTGTTTGGGCTGCAGAGCTTCTACAGAATGGCGTTTTAACCATTACAGGAACTCACAGAGTGGCTCTACTGCTCATTTAATGGGAGTTAGGGTTAGAAACTTCAGACTTTTGGGTTAAATCTGTGTTGATTCATCAGTTTTCTGTGTTTTTTCTGTTTTTCTTCAGACATCTTTGCAGAGTCGGCAGATCCGTCCACCCAAAGGTCAACTGGGTTCCTCATTCTGGAGTTCCTGATGAGCCGAAAACTGGTTTTCCCGGATATTCCCGTTTTTCCGGACGCTTTAAACCTCTGGCTAACATCTGGAAACATCTCATCCAGATGTGAGATTGGGAGAAGATGGAATAATGCGTTTATTCAAAGCTCTGATGTACCTTTAGATGCGAAAAATCAGGGTTTTATTTTTTGTTTTTAGTCGGAATCCAGAGTCAGAGCGGATTATTTTGCGTTGGGTTTGTTTTCGTTCGGACTCTGACAGAAGGGGAATCCACCGTGTGGAGATAAAACCTTCAGATCGGAGAGGAATAATGTGCTTTTGGCTCGTTTGTCCGGGTGAATTTAGTCTTTAATCCACATGAATTGTAACGTCTTCAAACCTGAGTCTGAAATAAAACCGAAGCAGCTGTTTTAATCTCGCTTCTCTTTTCCTTTTTTTGTTCAAAGTCAAACTCCAGACATTAAAAACAAAAGATTATGCTGATGGTTAACCGTTTCCAAACAAATAATCCAAAAGTCTGCCAGGAAACAGACTAACGGCAGAAATATAAGACTCAAATATGAGGTCAAACTCCCCAAAAGAGACTGAATGATGAATTGGAGCTTCTTAATTGGTTGGAATTGAACTTTCTGGTGACACAAAACCCAAAACTCCAGGTTTGTTTTCTCTTTATTGCATTTCTTTTTTATCTATTCACACTTTAATCTCTATTCGTAATCAGAAAATCAACAAGTCTGCGGTGGACAGATTTTTTTTTAGCATTTTAAGGATCCCACAGCGCCTCACAGTCGTTTTGAATCGGGCTGAAGACCAAATCTGTTCCGGTTACAGAAAAAAAACGCTCTGAAATAAATAGGACTCCCATTCCTCTCGTGTTTTCCTGCACAGAAACCGGAAAAATCGAACCGTTTTTAGACTAAAGCTGAAAAGACGCACAAAAAAGGAGGAAAGCACATTAATCCTTAAGTTAATACCAGAGTTTCAGAGGTTCTCAACTCGTTTAACCACTAATGTGAACGGACAAATCGGAGATGAGCAGCGTTCTTCAGCTCTTCTGGTTTGAGTCTCAGCAGAGTTTGAGACAAGAGAACTTTTACTTTCTATTTTTGCCGATTTCCTTGAAAATTCTTCTTCACTAAAAGCCGAAAAGCCGAAATCCTCGCGTTGTCCTCCTCCCCTTTTGCCGGTTAATGTTGTCAAAGCAGCTTCTGGTTTCACACAGATACGGGAAAATGGGGAAAAATGCGTTTAACCAAAACTGGAAATGATCCAGAGGAGGTGCAGTACCACCA